AACAGTGATTCGTACTCGTGAACAGTAACTAGGTCGCACAGGTTTTTTTCCATTCTGCCCAGATTTCATCAAACATCCGATCCCGCTTCGTCCGTGGTCCGATCGAGCTGAAATTTGGAGGATAGGTTCATGACTCAGTGTCGCACAATCTGAACGGTGAAGATCAGATTTTGAGTTCAGGAATAGTGTTTCGTACCCATGAACAGTAACCGGGTTTTGGAACTCGCCGGGATTTTTTTAAGAAGACGACGTTGAAACTTTGAACAAAAGTTTCTGAGGCAAGATTCTATCCTTACTCTTTCCCTTAGGCTTCATACTCTTTGCACTCTTAAATGATTTCAGGATTAATGAAGATTAAACCAAACTAAAATGATATCTGTTTTGCTATGAAACTGGTAGTTACAGTAGTGTTGTATGCTTGTTCAACCTAGACTAAGCATGTTTGTGGATGCATTGTGGTTCTGTGGTTCACGTTTTTCCTTACCACTGCTAGTATAAATTATTGGAAGGATGGGTGTAGATGATAGCTATCTTAACTTCTGTAATAGCAACTGTTGGAACTTAAATACTAGGAGGATTTGAGTTTAACACTAGATCGGTTTTGTGGAACACTATAATTTGAGCATGTCTACATACATACTGTGAATATTGTTTTGATGCTTACATTATCACAGTTAGTATCAACTGTGGAGGTTAGGATTTTGTGATATATACCCTACATATCTGTATGTCATTTGTAAGGTGTTAAATGGAAGTTTTAATTAATTCTGTCTTTATATCAGACTAAAGGGAACAACTTAAATTAGGCATGTATATGTTGTTGTTGTGACCCTGTTTATCAATGCTTATTTTATCACTGCTAACATTGAATGTTGGATGTTGGAATTTAGTTGATATATACTTGATTTATTGGTATTATTGACTACTGGAGGATTGGAAAGTAGGCACCGGTATGGGACGGTGGCATACTAAGGATGGGTTTGGTTTTTAAAACAATACCATTACCCACCTACTTGGAATAAGAATGGGATTAACTAAAAGTTAAGTCCCGTGGATTTGTATTGTCATGGCAACTACTTGTTGAGCGGCAATACCAGGGATTTTGAATGGATTTTATATATGTACTGTTATGGTGCCTCGGTATGAGCTTGAGCCTCAGGACCGATGGTTGGGGAGCGTATATGCATCGGGATGTGTAGCTGGCTACGATGGTTGGAGGTGTACCCTGTTTAGGTATAGGTACATATGCCCACTTCGTGTGCGTTTTAGCATGTTACATCTATTCAGGTTGAGACCGGCCTGTAGTCCAGTGAGAGTCCTTTAGTGTGACTATATATATATTTACGGACTATTAGCTATTGTTGAATTGTTTAGGATGTACATGCGTATCGGGCCTCTGTTTGGATTGTAGTAGTATAGAACTTGCGCGTGGGCCTGACCCACTTCTATTTTTCAGGTACACGACAGTTCCAGGCTTAGACGTGTTCGTGCTGAGCAAAGGTCTCTATTCACTCTTCCGACGATGTAGGGCTCTCTCTATAGTTTTATTTCTGGACGTTTATTACAATTGTTCTATCTTCCGTTTGGATGTTTAATAGGGGTCCACTAGAGATGGATTCCCAAGTTGTAAACTGATGGAGTTTTGGAGTTTGGGTTTGATGGATTTTAATAATTATAATATTTTGCGGATTGTATTTTTAGTTCCTTCCAGCTTTAATTTCATTTCTTAATTTATTTTGTATTCCATGTTCATTATAAAATATTAATTGTTTGATATTCCCTCGGGTTTGGGCCTGGGCCTGATCAACTTGTGTCTCGGATCCGAGGGGTATCTCAGAAGCAACTTTAACCTTTGAGGTACCATGAAAATCCAAACTTGAACTTGAAACTCGTACTAAAAAATGGTCAGAAATCGATTCTAAATAAGGGGAAAAGGTAGAGCACGACGAGGTCTACGATAAACGTTAAGGCAGGAGACTTTTTACAAAGGAAATCAAGTGGAGTAGAAGAAGAAAAGGTGGAAGCCCAAGGGGCTTCCATGGCTGCCGGCCAAAGAGGGAGGAAGATGATGGAAAAAGTGATTTTTCACTTTAAGACATTCTATTTATAGCAAAACCCTAAAAGTGCCCCGAAAGGGCCCTACCGGATTCGGAAAGGTGGAATTTGAGTAGACGGGCTCAAATAGAGAAACTCCGTGAACAAAAAAGAACTGAAATGAGAAAATATGAACAACGGAAGAAACGTCGTCTAAAATCAAGTCCCGAGCAGAGAGATATGCCCCGAACAAGTTCAGCAGCAACCGATGTCAGAAATCCCTAAAACTGGGGAAAACGACCAGGTGGAAATTCTAAGAGTACACGACTAGACGAAATGTGAAAATAAATCCCGTACAAGGATCCAGGCTCAAAACGGGGTAATTTGTAATAACTTTTGTTAATTGCACAGTGACCCCTCCAAAAAGGGTTAATTGTACTAATGACCCAGAATGAAAATATCTTTAAAAAATATTTTCTTAAAAACCCCTGAAATAAAATATCTCTAAAAGATATTTATGGAAAACACCCCAAAAAAGAAAAAGTTTCTGAAAAACTGTGCATCCATGCCCCTATAGACATCGGGAGCAAACAGAGCACTTTTTTACAAAAGTAAATATACGTATTTCGTGGAAACCACTTAGAATGAAGATACGTAAAGTTAAAAACCAACTCCGAACACGAAAAGTGAGGTTGTGCCAAAAAGTTACAAATGGGGAAAAGACAAAATAGGGAAGATGACGAAAAGTGAATAATATCCAAAAAGTGAAAATACGGAAATGACTCGGTCCTTAAAGGAAGTTGTCAATCCAAACGAAAGAGTCTCGAAAACTATTTCTAAGCACTCGAGACGGCACTAAGTGACGAGAAACAAAATTTGGAAAAGAAAATTAAACGAAAAAAATTTATTCGTAAAATTTGATAAAAAGGAAAGGAGGGAAAATGACTGGGTCATTACAATCATAAAATCACATATTATATATGTCTAATTTATTTTATATGTTTATTATAAAATCACATATTGTGTGCCTAGTTTATTGGGTTAAGTGAAAAATATACTCCTAAAGTATGTTTACAATGTATTTCACACCATTTATGTGCAAAAAATACCTCTAAAGTTTCAATTTGGTGCAAATAGGTCCATATGACAAATTTAAACTCTAAATTGACTAAATTACCCTTACTAAATCATTTTATAAAATATATAAAAATAAATAATTTTGTAAAATGACACTATTGGAAGATATCCCTCACGTGCAAAAAATACCCATAAAGTTTCAATTTTGTGCAAATAGGCCACTCTGACAAATTTAAATCCTAAGTTGACTAAATTACCCTTATTGAACCATTTTATAAAATATACAAAAATAAATAATTTTGTAAAATGACACTATTGGAGGATACCGGTAATGGACAAGTAAAGATAAAAATAGAAAATAAAAATAAAAATAAAAGTAAAGAAAAGATAAAAATAAAAAATAAAAAACGAAAATAAAGTGCAAACTAAAGAAAATAAATCTGCTCCAAACTCCGAAAATCAGTGCACACTAATATTGGAAATTTTTTTCCTTTTTTTTTTTTGTTTGAAAAAAAAAAAAAATAGTAGAAACATTGAACTGAAATCTTAACAAATTCAAATCCTTGTTCTACAAATTTTCAAAGTTAAAAAAAAAAAAAAAAAAAAGAGAAGGTAATGTACACATAACACCCCTATACTTTGATATTAGGAGAATATATATCCCTTAGACATTTTTGAAAGAGTAAAAAGACAAAATGGGTATTACAATACTAATTTATATCAGGAGGGGTATTTTTGCACAATGTGAAAATATTAGGAATGTTTTTTGTACACTTTTTCAAATAGGGTAAAAGTGCTACACGGAATATATTTCAAAGGTGTTTCCTTCACTTGTCCTCTAGTTTACTTTAGATGTAGGTAAAATAATATTTTTAATTTATATTAATTTTCAATTTTTTTTTATTAATTTTTTTAATTTTTTATATATATATATATATATGGTATGATTAGTTTTAATTTATTTCATATCAAGTTTATTTTTAGCCATCAATTTCTTAAAACGTATAATTACTAACCATTTTTAATAACCACAATGACATAAATTCAAACATACTAATAAGAATCCAAACATACTTCACTAACGCTAATAGGAACCGATACCATTTCACATGTCTGCACCTCGTATTAATGAAATGCTCATAGATCTACCATGGATTTAGAGGAGAGCATCCGAATCCGACAAATAGAAATGACAAGGGAATCTCAGCATAAAATAGTTCTACGATGGCTTCACGTCAGAGAAAAGCGGAAGAAAAGTTGGAAACGACTATTGCGGGTCCCGCAAACATATACCTTTTATCGGTTCCTGTTCTGGACCTTCCCCATAACGAACGAACGGTATGGCTCTTCATCCATTGAAGGAGAAATCAAAATTGAAAAATGCTTCTTATTTGTGTCGTCGTCGAAGTATTTTTTTCGACCTAATTAAATTCATTGATTTGTTCTGAGGATTAAAATAATCAGTTATTAATGAAATTTTTTATGGATTCTCTGTGAAGTATTCGTACGCTAAGCCTGTGTAGACAGGGTGAGTATTGATTTTTTCTGCTCCACTAAATAAAAATTCTTCTCTCTCTAATAAAAAAATATAGATCTAAGTAGCATCACTTATGACATTACGCATGCGGCATATATACATATATATATATATGTATATATAAAGTCAATTGTCCTGTCCTTTTTAATGATTTTTGTCTTTTTGTGAATCATTGTCGACATTGATGGGAATTAATGTACGTTCATATGTTTGAATAAATGACTCTTTAAGATGACAACTTGTTTTCTTTTATGTGGCTCTTTTTTTCTTTTATTTATTTTATATTATAATAGATTACAGACACATGCATATATAATGAATGGCGTGAATGTGTTGGTCACTTTTGTCAGTCCCTATTATCTGACCAACGTGAGCGATGATGCAATGGGAACAATGCCCACGTTCCACATATTTATACTCCTCACAGGTCATTACGAGTCCAACCAGACACCGTAGGCCAAGCTCTTAATATCTTGTGGGAGAACCTATTTTTCGAAGTGTTTGGTCTCTCCTAAGAGCCATTTGGTGCTGAATTTGTAGTTGGGTTCAGATAAAAATGGCAGATGAGCATAAAGAGCCACTGCTGAAGACCTATTACTATGAGAACTGCCCGGGATGTAAAACGGATGAGCTTAAAGCGTTGAAGAGAGGCTTACCTATTAAGGAACTGGTCTCTATATGGATTGTGGTGCTTTGCACAGGTGACCAATCGCTTATCTCTCCTTTTTTTTTTTTTTTTTTTTTTTTTTTTTTTTAACAAATTAGGAGAGGGATCGGACACCGATGGCCTAGCTCGAAAAGTTACTTGCTCTATCAACTAAGTCACTTTGTTATTCATGAGTATTTGCCTCCCATGCTAGTATTATTTTGTATTTTGACAGCAATAGGCTGCATGGTTTTGGGTTGTTATTGATAATATTTTATGTCTGTGTGCTTGTTTGTACATGTGTGTAGAGAACAAAATTCTCTCCTATGTTCTGTTCATTCACAACATTTTTGTAAAATACTTTACTAATTAGACGGAATATGACCACTTTTTGATAAAAGAGGATTTTAGTCGTTGGTGGGTGGGGGTGTTGAAAACTGTAATTTTCAGTAAGAAGTAATTACTAATTCAAAAGCTGAAATAGGGGTTATTTTGTAAGGGAGGTCTATAAGAAAGTTGATATGAGGAATTAATCTTTGAAATGTGCCTAAAACATGAAATTATTGGATGAATTGGGTGCCATAAAGATGAAAAATGATATATGTGTGAAGTGCAGCAATCGGGTATGGTTGGAAAGAACGAAATGTTTTTTAAGGGTGCTAATCAAGTTGCAGGCTAAGACCTATAAGTGGCTAAGTCCAATTGGGACAAAGCAGCCAAGTTGCAGGCTAAGACCTATAAGTGGCTAAGCCCAATTGGGACAAAGCAGCAAACATTGGAAAGGAAACTTGTAATATTATAGATTATGCATGCAATTTTTCTCCACAAAGTGTATATTAGAAATTTGTTAGTGTGAATAATACTACATTGCTGTAGGAGTTTTCTGTTTGTGTCAGATTTTTCTCCCCTATAGGTGATGCACTTTTTATTCAAAAAATTCTTTTTGTTTGGAATTAAAAGTTAAGCTAACATCATCAACTTAATACGACATTTAAAACCCTTAAATATTGATTAAATTTGTTGCTTTGTTGAAAGTTGGATCATTAAGCTTGTCTTATATTTATATTTTCTGTAGTTTTCTTTCTCCTTTTGTATGATATAAAATTTGTGCATCACTTGTATGAGATTTATCTGCTTCGTAATGAGTTTTCTGTCATTTATTGACCCTCTAATGTCTTTTTTATTTTTATTTTTATTTATTTTTATTTTTTATTTTTTAATTTTCAGCACTGCCAATATCATCTCTTTTTCCATTCCTCTACTTCATGGTGAGTATATAACATCTTGGATTTGGTATTTTTTACCTTTGACATGTGTTTCAATATAAAGAACTCTAGATTTAATTCATCATTTTACATTCACTTAAGCACATAATTGTTTCCTTATGGATTGTTTTGAATTTAAATAGACGATTTAGGGCCTGCTTGGTTCAATTTTCTAAAAACTGTTCTCAATAATTGTTTTCGAGAACTATTTTTCAATTCTCTGAAAACAGCTTTCAAATAATTGTCAACCAAACAGATTTTTGTACAATTTTGTGTACATATCTCGGGTACTTGTACCTTCAATTGCATTATTCTTGTGTTTAATTATAATGAAGTTATCATGTCCCAAGTTGACTGTGCTTGCTGGATTTTAAAAAAGCAATCTTGGTTTGCCAGGGAATTTAAACTTTTGAACGTGCTCACATTACTTAAAATAGGATTAGGATTTAGGATTTTTTTTTTTCAATTTCTGCTGTACTTTTTATTTAAATTCTCTATCTGGAATCTTGTTCCTTCACATCTTGCAAGAAACATTGTGATATCAAGGTTGGCGTACAAGATCAAACACAAGTATTGTCTTGTTGTAGTAATGGAGAAAAACGAGAGAACTTTAGGGTCATCGCAACCCTACTAATTATGTTTCAAAAAAAATTCCCAATTGAAGGGGGGTAAGGAGTTCAAATACGGTGTCTTGCGGTTTCCTTTAATATAAGGTAGTAGTCACGTCTTGTTTATAGGAGAATATAAAGGTGTGGAGAATAATAAATTCACATTCACAGGCTAAGAGTAATGTGGCCAAATGGAGGTATTGACATATCTATGGAGAATATATAATGGAAAAATAGTGTGTTTTGAGCAAGACATGTGGTGATTGTGTGTCTTGAGGTCACCCTCATGTTTCTCTATTTTAGAGATTATTTAACATATAAGACACAGAGGAAGTAAACCTTGACAAATCATTGATTTCAGCCTGTTAATCACTATCTACTTTAAAAGCTTAAGCTGTTGGAGAGGGTGTAACTTTATTATTTAAATCCTTCAACACGCTCCCTCATGTGTGGTATTCTTTTGGTCCAACACGTGTTTCAATTTTAATTATCAGGGTGACGGTGAGGTTAGAACACAAGGCCTTACCTACTGCGATACCATGTTAACCACCATCTACTTTAAAATCATTAGCTGTTAGAGAGGGTTTTACTTTAATATTTAAATCCTTCAACACAGCTATTAAGACACAACTCCTAGGATGCCAAATTAACCATGACACAACCCAGAGGTTATGCACTCTAGAGGTGTTTTGTATCAGTTGTGAGCTCTATACTAAGAAACTTAAATTAGGCCCATTTTGCAAAATCAAGTTGAGGCATCACATGTATTAACTGTGGAATTTGGATTATTGTAGAACACTATGGAGATTCAATACATGTTGTGGTCCTGAGGATCATTTCAATACATGTTGTGGTCCTGAGGATCATCATCTAGTAGGTGATATGCAATGAAATGAAGATGTGGCACACAAGTCAACACAGTGTTGCTGCATGGTGTGGTTGCGAGTGTCACAATAAAATCAATGAGGGAGATATGTGCTGAAGTGAGGTCAGATTCCCTTATTTAACCCCCAAGCTGACAGAGATTTGTTGCTTGTTTTGGTGTGCCTCAACTGCATTATAGGAAATAAGTGCATGCTAGAAATGTGATTAGGAAAAGGCTTTGGTGGTTGTAGTAGTAGTTGTTGCTAGAGAAGTAATTGTCCAACCATTAAGAAAATGGATTTCTTATGGCAGTAAGTCCTAAATGGCATAAAGAAATGAGCCATCTCAGAGGGGGTACTCCAAGTGCCATTGGTAGAAAGGATGGAGCCATTAGACAAGGTGCGTTGAGGTTTGTAGGTTTCTATCAGGTTTTTCCCAATGCTAATGACAAAATCTTATGCCACTAATATATAACTTGTGATTGCCTCACAGTGAGGTCATAAGCTTGTTATGCCTTGTTCAAGCTAAAAAGGTCTTGAATGTAATGAGTTTGATGCATGTCCAGAGGACAAGACATTAATAATCAGGGAAGTGTGAATCTCTCAATGCGGTAGTTAGGCTTAATGTGGAATATTAGCCCTAGCACGGAGTGTGGTGAAGAATAAGGAGAACGATGGTGCAAGGTGTTAGACCCTTGAAGGCAAGCTTAAACCATGGAATAGCCAAAGTGATATTTTGCTAGGCCTCGACAGCCAACTTGGGTCCATGGTTCGAAGATGCGGATGCGGCTGCCGACGTGGGTGTGAGACCGTATCAGGCGTAATGTAATAGAATCATTTATTGTGGTTGTGAAATTTTATTACCTTGCACACCATCAGATGTGCTGACTCAGTTGAGTTGTTAGAACTCATAAGAGATTCGGCTGATTCCCTAGGAATAACTGGACTTAGACTAGGCTGAGTCCGAGTCCATTACAACTTGGATGAGTCGCCAAGACTCTGCTGATACAGGGAACTATGCCCGGGGCACAAGTGGGTTGTCAGTGACATTTTTGTGAATATTCCAACAATTAGAGTTGGGGTACACCTTGTAGAATGGAATTGGAAAAATATGGAATCTTCTCCAAGCCATTAGAACGCATTGCAACAACTCCTCGAATTTTGGAGGTCCCTAAAATTTATTGTGGAATTAAAACTCCTAGAGTGGCGGTCATGTCTCTTCCTGCCAGAGCCTTGACTTTGAATTATGCACATATAGGGGGGGTGAGGTCTCACACCCTCCAACCCCTACCCCTATGTGGGGGTGCTCTTGGGACCACCTCACCTAGTTAGGCAAGGCACACTTTCCTGAGGCAAGCTTGGGAGGTGCCAACATGCATTGGACATGGTTGTGCAACAGGTGACGACGGTTAAATGAGTAGGGCGTGACCCTAAGGGCGGGCAACATATGGGTGCACACCCCAAGCGAAGGGGCATGACACGGCAATCACATATGGACTCTTGGTGGTGGCAACTTGCCTGGGGCAAGGTCATGACGTGACGGTGCATGTGGGCTGCACTGGACATGATGGCATGGCAAGCCCATTTGTGGCTGATGGTGGCAGCACATTTAAGTCAGAACAAACTTCTTTCCTCCTACAAATTGCTTTTGGTCCCTTTTACTTATTTTCCAAGTGCAGCTGACCTAACTTTGGAGGCCTTGAACTTCAAATATATACCAGAAATATTAGTTTTTGAGTTCTCCACTATGTTCGAGGAATGTCGGTCATGCAATATAAATATAATTATGCTTCTATTTATCAGCTCTTTCCATGAGAGCTATTTTAACTTCATTTCAACATTTTTATTTTTTATGCTACCATTTTATGATGTCAGGATATTATTATTAGCGCAACTCTGGGTGCCAATGTAATAATGATTGGAGTTGAGGGATTAAGGAAGTAATGTTCTTTCTTTTTATCTTGGATTCTAATTCTTCTTCTATGTAGCCTGTTTTATCCATACATAATCAGAAATTTTGATGAGCTGACTTCAATAAATTTGACTATGCTGTCGTATTTGTAATATCTGTACTCTCTGTTTCTCGTTTAAGACAATTATATATACATAAGTAATTATTTATGCATGCATATTGTTGTATAATTAAGTTTTATTTTTGTTGTAGATAAGGGATTTCCATATTGCAAAAAGAGAAGAAGACATCGGTTACTATGCCGGTTATGTGGGTGAGCTAATTTTCTTTTCAGCTTTTCAGCATTGATGATACACATCAATCAGTCATCACTTTTTGGGTTGCATTCAGAGTAGTCCTAATAAATCTTTTGATAACATGAAGGGTCCTCATTTATGCTTGGAAGAGCTTTGACATCTGTTTTCTGGGGCATAGTTGCTGATCGATATGGTCGAAAACCAGTTATTATTATGGGAACTTTCACAGTGTTAGTATATGAACTTGTGCGAATATTTGCAATTAACTTGGCTATTTGATTTTTTGGAACTATGTACTATCTATTTTGCATAACAATCTTGATTTTTTTATTTTTGATTTTTGGTTTTAGGGTTATTTTCAACACTCTCTTTGGTCTTAGCGTGAACTTTTGGATGGCAATCGCTACAAGGTTTCTTCTTGGAAGCTTTAATGGTTTACTTGGACCAATAAAGGTATCCCTTATCGAATATCCATTTGATTGCTAACACATAGCTGAATGATTATATTTTAGATAGTTATGTTTGCTTTACATTTTGCTTTTTTTTGTTATATTTAATTCAGTTTCATCTTGTATAACTAGGTTTATGTTATTTTTTTGCTACTTTTTTTGTGTATTTAATTCATCTTGTATTGTTAAACATTTCTCCATCACCAGGCCTATGCATCTGAGATTTTCCGTGAAGAGCACCAAGCTTTAGGACTGTCAACAGTAAGCTTTTGTGGTCTGCATATACTAATAGTTCTTAAAATTGGATTACATCAATGCATTTGACAGTGTTAATTTTTATGTCAGGTTAGTACTGCATGGGGTATAGGTCTGATCATTGGCCCAGCTCTGGGAGGCTTCCTTGCCCAGGTACATCTATTTATCTATTTTGCTTGAAAAGAAGCAACTCCATGGTCCAGAGTTTCATTTTCGGGATGAGCATCATTTTATTTTTATTATTTATATATATATTTTATAGAAACCTAGGCTTTAACCAACCTATATGAGGAGGGCCGGCTGAGGTCCTTTGAGGATTTAACCACTAAATGTGATGCAAATTCTTCTTCTCGCTGAACATTTTCCCCAATGATTTGTCTCTGCACAGCTGGGCAGTCTGATGCCTAATTTGCTTCCTATAAATAGGATCAGCTCTTCTTCTTCTTTTTTTCTTCAAAATTGCTCTGCATCTGGAAGTCTCATTTCTTGAGTTAATACACATTTTCAGTGTTCCTCAACATGAATAATTTTAAGGCCTTCTCTAATTGTAATGCTAATGCATTACCTTGACCGATTACATTCAGCTCTCACCACTGTCACAAAAGATACAAGTTCAAAAACACGTGTGAAAGCTTGAAATATAATATAAATGCTATTTATGTGTGAGGCTATTTAATGATCAGTAGAGTCTGTTACATTTTAATTACTCTTAATTTCACTTGGAATTTGTGACTTAAGCTCGGATTAATGCTTTTAATCTGGTGAAAAGTTCAGAGTGTTACACTCATACTTGAGAATCCAAGCACATACTGTTGATCTTGGCAACAGCCTTTATTGCTAGAGAATATCTTTATAGGAGAATCCGATAATGATGTAATGGCTACACTTCAAAATCAAAAGATTATCCAAAGCGAACACTTAAAACAAAATGGATGCAAGCTAGTGGTGTTTTGTGTGACAAACGAATACCATATAAACTAAAAGGGGAATTCTATAGAACATAAGCCAACTATTTTATGTAGTGTAGAATGTTAGGCGGTAAAAAAGAAGCAAGAATAAAGAATTCATGTAGCAGAAATGAGGATGCTAAAATGGATTATAGGAGGGACTAGAAATGATAGGATTACAAACCAAAATGTGAGGGAAAAATTAGGTGTAGCACCTATTAGGAACAAGATTAGAGAGAGTAGATTTAGGTGGTATGGACACATACATAGAAGACCTATAGATGCACTGGTGAGAAGAGGAACAATTATCTGCATAGAGGGTAGGAGGCAAAGAGGGCGTCTGATATTATCATGGATTGGAATTATTAGAAATGACTTTAAAAGTTAAATTTAGAGAACAGATGGCTTTTAATAGAAAAGAATGGAAAAAGAGAATTCATTTGGCTGACACCATTCATACGGGGTTAAGGCAAGGATGATAATGATGATAATAATGAATATCTCTTAAGGAGTTATTTAAGCCCATGATAGAATATTGATAGGAGTTATTTATGGGATTGATCTTAAGAATCTCTCCATCAATATATTTTTCTTATTTATCACATGTTTGTATTCTTTCACCTATAAATAGCGGTGGTCATTATAAACAAAATTTAAGAGAGAATATAATGAAAGAGATTTAGTCCTTTGGGCTTTGTGTGCCATGGATGTAGGCCGTACTGGCTGAACCACGTTATATTCTTGTGTTGTTCATGCTTAATTTTTCTCTTGAATTTTATTTTTCTTAATATTTATTTTACAATCACTTCGTACACAATATGTTATTTTTAAGATGTGAAGAACTTCTAAACTGAATTCCTCCCAAATGTGTTATATGATTATTCATTTGTCTCCTCTTTATGCATGGTTTAACATTACTAACTAAATTATGTTTTTGGTGTTTGGTCGTCAAGCCTGCAGAGAAATATCCATTTCTGTTTTCGAAAGATTCTGTTTTTGGGAGGTAACTTTGCTTCCATTGCTTTGTATTGTAATGATGCAGCTCAAATATCTCATTTCAAAACTTGCTGTCAGTGTACTAAATCTATCTTGTTCCAAAAATCCACCTGTGATGCAGATTTCCTTATTTCTTACCCTGCCTCAGCATATCAGTTTTTGCATTGATTGTGACCATTGCTTCTTGTTGGCTTCCGGTAAGTTTCTCTGTTAATCTAATTTGCATGCCATTTATGTTATTGTTGTCTTTCAAAAGCATCTTGCTCATTCTTGTCACTTATCTTATCTCAACTTCTGCTTGGGATCTTTTAATTGAACAGAGCTTGCTAAATTTTATAGTGTAGCAATAATAATATTAATTTAATTTAGTTAAAATAAAAATTGACGTGTTAACAATTGTGTAGAGAGACATCTAGACTTTATATTAAGTTGATAAAAACAATTTCCCTTTATGTTAAAAACGGTATGATCTATAATTTCACCTTACTTTTTCTTGGATAAGTTTTGGGCTTCATTGATGGGGTGGTGGTTCTAGTCAGTTCATATTTTGTAGCATGGACCCTATGCAAACTTCAAATTATCCATGCAATTTAATGCTTGTAAAGTAGTTGGATCTTGTGGGTCCCATCAAAATCCAAATTGATCCTGAAATCGGTATGGGAAATCAACGTTTAAAATGGAAAGAATGTGTTCAAGTCCAATGCAAACCCTAAGTGATCCATGTAATTAGAATGATAGAAAGGATATAAAACAATCCATATCAATGATCTTATTCATCCTCAATACTTTAGTCTTGATTTCTCTCATATTTTCAGCATTCTTTTATTTTCTTAGTGTATGTATTTTTCTCATGAAGTTTATTTGTTAACTTATATTGTAACTTTTCTGAGTAACAGGAAATAAAAATGTAATGTGTTTGTATCTTCTTCTTTTGTTTTTTTGAAATATTTCCTTGTGAAATAAAGTCAATGTATTCGTAATACAAATGTAATCTATTTATCTATTATGTAACATACAAGTCACAGAAATAAAAGATTTAGTGTTTTATGGTATCAAAGCAAGATAAAGCAAGATTTTTTTTTTTCTCTTTTTTCATTCTCATGCCTAGTTTTTGGCCTACCTTCTCAAGGCTTGTCAATGGAGGTTATGGTTTTAAAATAAGGTTTTGTGTGACAAAATCATAGGGTAGGACCTTAGGTACATTTATATGGAGTCGTCACATAACACCGAGTTTTAGTGTGTTAAGTCACAGTTTGGAGATGAGGTTTTGAAAACAAATTGAGAAATTGATTTTGAAAATCATTTTTAAAAAAAGGCCCAACATAAACGGGTCGTCGCTCCATAATGATCTATGTGTACTGATATTTAGAATATTGGGGGTTTACCAGTTCTAATGGAAGGTGTTATGCCCCCTTAAAACATTTGTGAAACACTACTACTATATTTGATTTAGAAAGTTGAGTTTGGATTTTGAAAGAAGTATGAGACCCGAGGGAGTATTGGAAACATGGGGTATGGGACACCATCATGGTGTATCTTTATTGTCTACCTCAAATGGAATCCATACCTACCTAAGTCATTATGGGCTAGTTGTTAGGTATATGAGTCATATGTTGGAAAATTTCTATTCAAAACATGTGTTGTATTGTGTCAAAGTATCTTGAGTCTTCGAGTACATTTGTTAAAGACTAAGCAGAAACAAATTTGCATATAATACAATATGAAATTTGCATCCTGAATCGCATGTCTAGAGCACAGGTAAATTGACTTTGAAAGACCTTATTTCACCAAGATTGATCTAGGGGAGGCTCAATGTTTTGCTTTAAATAAGTTCTTGGAAAAGGGCTTTTAAAAATTAAAAGATTTCAACTTATTTAAAAATTGAATATTTATTGGAAAACAATGGATACTGATCGTAGTATAGAGAAAAACAAATTACACTTAGGTGAAACTTTTCAAATTTCTTGCAATGACGTTAATTTTTAAGGTGAAATTACCTTTATACCCCCAAAATTTCAGCATAAAAATACCAAATTTCCCATAAATGAAGACTTTAGGATTTTCTGATCATAACCTGGTCACCCCCATTCTCTCTCTCTCTCTTCGCCCACTGTAGCCGCCACAACCACCATCCCTCTCCTCTCTCTTCTCCGTTCTCTCTCTCCTCTCCACTTCATCCTCTCTCCACCCACTGTCGCTGCCGCCGCCACCACCGACAACAAAACAACCATTGTCACCACTGTCGTTAACCCCAACATGTGGAGCCCTAGCCAGAGCAACACCGTTGAGTCCTCGGGCTTTGTGCTGCCGATCGCTGTCGCTCCTCTTCCTCCATCGTCACTTGACCTCCACTTGGTTCATCTTGGGGAAGTTGCTATTTCACTGATTTATCCCGGCAGCGGCACCACCTCTGTTCCTTTTCCACTGCCTTTCGCATCCTGAGACTGAATAATCATCTCAACACCAACAAGCCAGTGGCCTAGCGGTACCAAGCTCCTACTTCTCAAAGAGAGATCAGGAGTTCGAGCCTCAGTGGAGGCATGTGTGTGTGAGTACCAACTAGGGAAAAAAAAATAATCATCTCAACATCTTCGGAATCAACTGACGACGAACTTATGGCGCAAGATCAACACTGGGATACATAGCAACTCAGTCTCTGACTTGTCCACTTCCTCTGTGTTGTTTCTAAGATTATTAGATGCATTCCTATTGCAGTTGCTTAAATACATTGAAAACATGTCTGAAAAACTTAATAATATATAGTTCTTATAAATGTATAGCCTTCTTATATTGGCGATTAATATGTTAAACGCAAGTTTCCACAAGTGTCAATTCAGAAATTACCTTCCTTATATCACAAAAATGGGCAAAAGAATCTGTGTGTATTCCCCTTAAGTTACAGTTCCTATAATTTTCTTTCTGGCTCTATGCTATTGATGTCATCACTCATCAGTCTCCATTCATAGATCTGTGAAAATCTAAGTGTCTTCTCTTACTAAATTAGACTAGAATTGTAAAAAAGGTCTCAGTGTTCTCAGTCTTACGCAATTAGTACTCCACCCTGAAAGCCATACAATTGATGTGACCTTCATCAGTCACCATTTGTGCAGATTTGTAAAATCTACAAATCTAAGTGGCTTCTCTGGTTAAGTTAGACCCTAATAAATTCCTAATTGTAAAAAGTTCTCGGAGTTTTAATATTATGCATCTAGTACTCCATCCTAAAAAGATGGAAAGGGTATTTTTGTCCTAAAATATGAGGTATTTTAGTAAATAAATGCTATTGTAAAGGTTATTTAAGCAATTTCAGATGGAGTGAGGGCATTTTGGTCAGATCACCTTTCTTTTTTCTATTTTTTTTTGGATGGTGGGGGTAATAGTAGCAAGTGAGCAAACTCAGGGGAACATGATGCAAAATTTTTGAAAAGTTTCATCCGAGTGTATTAGGCTAAACCTCAGGGGAGGTCAATGTATTTCAAAAATATATTATTTGCAAAAGGGTTAAAATATAAATAGGGTTAAAATTTAACAAAGGTTAAAACAAAATATATAAAATGCAAACTTAATAAAGTCTCAGAAAATTAAAATATAACACTAATAATCTAGGATTAAAGGATTTCTCAAAATGACATTTTTTTCGATATTTAAGATTGATGATGATGTAATTAGTAGGATCTGAACATGCTAGACAATGGAAGCAGACTAATGGTGCTTTATGTGTAAGAGAATACCAAATAATTTAAAAAATAAAATTTTACTGGATGGTCATTCAACAAGTTGAGCTGAGTGTTGGGTGTTAAAAAATGGAAAAAGATTATCAATAAATGTAATTCAAATGAGAATGCTGAGATGGATGATTGGAGTGAGTAGAAATGATAGGGTTAATAATTAATCAAACTTGTGAGAAAAAAGTAGTATTAGTGACGGTTACTGGTTAAATAAGAGAATGTAGACTTAGGTGGTATGTACATATACAATGTAAATCCATAGATGCACCAGTTTCGAAAGAGAGACTAAGAAGTAAGAGACAAAGAGGCAGACCCAAACTAGCATGGGGTGAAGTAATAAGAAATGATTTAAAAATATATATTTATATACAATTGGAGAAATGGCTTGTAAACTTGTGATAGAAGAAAATGGAAAAAGAGAGTTCGTGTCGCCGACTCCATTATATGGGATATAGACAAGGATGATAATGATGTGTTAGATAAAATGTGCCTTACTTTTTATTCATGCTGGTCCTTTTCTGTGGTTGATCTTTAGCAACTAGTTGTTTACCTTCATCAATTACTCGCATTGCATTGGAAAATCTTTTCTCTCAGTTTGCCCACAAATTTCCAGCCTCTTTATTTAGTCTAAATTACCAGGATCTTATCTTTTCCCTTGGGATTGTAATGCAACTAGGAACAATTAAAGATTATTTATAGCATTGTAATTCTTTTAGTTTTTATATTTTACTCGTATAAGACCTGATTTCACTAAATCTGACTATTTACTGCAATTTGGTTTCAAATTATCTGGAAAAATGCAGGAAACTTTGCACATGCACCATAAATCACGTGATAACTCAGCTGAAGCTCTTGAGGCTGCTTGCTATGGATCTGATGCAAAAGAAATAGTGCAGGATATTGAAGAAAGAGAACCTACTTCTAAAGAAAGCCTGCTCAAGAACTGGCCCTTAATGTCATCTATCATAGTTTATTGTGTGTTTTCACTTCATGATATGGCTTATACAGAGGTAGGTTCCACAGCCTAACTTTTGGTTTCTGAAATGTGGTTTGATCTGCATACTGTTTTATCAGATGTCTTCCATTCTTATATTTTGGTTTACTACCCATGATTTCAACCCCTTTGGGATTTAGCATTTTGTTGCATGGCTTAAAAAAAAACTCCCTCTGGCACAATAGCTCATATATAGTAATAATATGACAAAAGAAATTTTCTTTGTAATGGCAAGGCAGAAGTGACATGGTTAGTTACACATAAACAACTGAAGTGGAGGATTTGCTTCTTTAATATTGGAAGAAATCATCATAAATAATCATAAATAACTTATGGTTGATCCTCCAAAAACAATGTCTGCAGAAACTGATCACATATTAATAGCAATTTGCATTATGAAACTAAGAAGCAGCTATCTTATAGGAAGTTTATTTTTTAGAATGTAATTTTTTGATAGGAAATGAGTTTGTTGAAGTAAATTTTCTTCATTTAAGTGATTTTTCTATTGATTAAAAAATCATGGCTGTAGTAACCGATTCCCGTTACGTCATTACCAATACACCGGATATGGTCACACTACTACCATTACAGATATATTATTACCATTATGTACTCAATTACTACTCCATATAAATGGAATGTTGTAAAGGAAAAGGTTTCCATCTATCTCACTATGATCAGGATATCCGATTTGGCTTTTTGTGTTGGACACATATCCTGTATCCCTACCAGTGTCATGTTGACATGGGTACGTGAAGGAAAGCAGGAGAGTCGACATGCCACTGCTAGATGGTAATCAATCCCAACATGCTCGGAGAGGTATGGTGTAGCAGATCAATAATTCTGAAAATTGACGCACAAGTTGTGGCACTGAGCCTCTGTGATGTCTCACAGAGTCAGGACGAGTTAGTAAAATCCCGTTGACTTGTACCAGTTGAGCATATTCTTGTCCCGTTGACCTGTTGAGTTAGACTCATAGCACTTCCTTATCTTCTTGCATAAGTAGCAAAAATAAGTGTTAATGTCCTTGGCCTGCTTTGTGTTCCTTTTCTGACATTGTGCAATTAGCCTGTCTTCTGCATTAATGATAATCTGGTGGTTAGGTGTCCAAGATATCCGTTAAAATTGAATAATTGGTTTGCAAAGTATATGCACAACTAATTGGAGACAAAGAATTAGCCGAGTTTAGATTTTTTGCTTCATGAGAACTAAGGGTAACATAAGTGATAAGACAGACACCATACATTCTAGCATAAAAACAGTGTCCATTCAAGCAAATGAATTTCGGAACAGTCTTCTACTCGGTATAGGGCAAGCTAGAAAGTCAACAGATTCAGGGATTTGTACATTGATTCTAGGATAGGAGGAAGTAGCATGGGTATTTTCTACTGGAGCAATGCCTTTATGTCAGTGGGTGCCATTGAATCTGATGTAGTGTATTGTTCGTCAGCCTGCTTGGTCCCATTAGTTTGGACTCTTAGGAGTTGAAGGAGTGACTGGAAGACTCATTTCTTATGAATGATGAACACTGCTTCATGTTATTGCTATCATGCGTAAATACTCCTGTTTAGAGTCACAAAAAATGTTGATGGTGATTTATGGGTTCTTAGCCAAGGAAGTAATATGTGTAGGATAGTGCAGGAGTCGTATGAGTTTGAACTTGGTCTGGTGGGGCACGGGGATCTAGAGAGGGAAAGAAGGTTAGCAGTATAACACCTATGGACGTGTCGGTTTTGCATGAGGGACAAGAGAACACAAGAGTTGATATACTTGCTACTTGGTGTTGTATAACTGCTCATATATAGAGAGTCAGAGGGTTGTACAGCCAACTTGCAAGGCCAGGACATGTGACAGGCCAAAATAGCAACCTGGACATACCAGCTTACCGATCAGAATTTGTCAGCTCCGTAAAATCCACTGAGCATGACAAATCTCCCAGAGGAGATGTGCTCTCTCTCTCTCTCTCACTGACCAAAAAGCAGTCTCTTGTCATTGAGAGTCTTGAGATCATGAGTTTCCCAAACTCAAGCTGTCAAGCCACTGGATTCCAAGGATCCTATGTGGTCTGTTGTGTAATGTTCAGTTCACCACATTGAGGTGAAGGAGTTCCTTGGAATGCCAATGAGATGGTCCGAAAGAGGGCACGTTGCAAGCATCCCAGATGGTATATTCTCAATGCTTGCACCATGGGATGGGCTTGGAAGAGGGCTTTGGTGAAAGTCTTTGTACAAGACCACCTTGGTGATATCCCAAATCAAGGTCCCCTAAGGTAGGATTTTTGTTGGGTTTGCACAATTGTTAGGCTTACACACATCGAAGAGCTGGATCCACTTATTATTGAAGGTTATGCCACTTGGCCTGAATGGGAGGTGACGCATGCTGATCACAGGAGGGACCATTCAGTGGTTGTCAATTGGAATACATGGCAGCCTTAGGCGCATTACCTTTTTCCCTTTCTTTCTTTTTGGTTCTTATTATTGTCCCCTTTTCTTTTTCTTCAACAATGTTACTTTTACCTTGTTTAGTATCACTGCCATCTCTTCTAATGCAAGTTTTAGTTCCCTTATAGTGTCACTTTATTACCGTTATATATTCTTAGAACCTCATTTTAGCATAAAGTCTCCATGTTTTCTGTCAATCGATAAACACGATCTCAAGTTTCTCTTTTAGTCCTGAACTTTTCCTTCAGTTGTAGGAGAAGATAATTTTTTAGCGAAACTTCCTGTTATATATCTTTTTTCATTTCTTTTTGAATTTTCATCTACAGCTGTGCAAATTGTAATGGCGGAAAGAAAAATATTGAATGAATAGTATAGTGAAGATTTTTCATTGAACAATTAATTAGTTTAGGCATATTGATATGCACTTGAGCAGTCAATGAATTTTTTTTTTTTTCCAGTTGCCATTTTGCTCTTATGGAGACTTGAACCCTCGACCTTCTACTTTGGAAGGTGAGGAACTGCCACTAGTCTACAGCCCTTGGTAGCAGTCAATGATTAATGGCATTTATATCCTACTCTAAAACATAACAATGTCACTTAAGCTAATATTGGCATCACTGATAAAGTAATCATGTTTCTTTTTTCACTATTTTTTCATTCTAATACATATGATTTTCTTTTTCTTAAAATTTTGTATCTGATTGTCTTACTGTGAATCTCTGACAAACAATGTCCTTACAGATATTCTCATTATGGGCTGTGAGCCCCAGAAAGTATGGGGGCTTGAGCTATTCAACTGAGAATGTTGGTGAAGTTCTTGCAATATCAGGTACAATAATGGATGGTATCCCATCCATAAATTATTAAATATGTTCAAAGCTTTATTTTGCATAAAAATGTCACGGGCTTGAGAATCGGTTTCTTCTATTGCATTTATTTTTTTATTTCTCTTTTCTCTTTTGCATTCAAACATGAAGAGAATTGAACTCTGTTGAATTTAGCAGGATTATAGTTTCCTAAGCAAAATTCGGCACCACTTAGTTTAGAAGATAAAAATGGAAATTAAATTTGTATCAGAAAAATATGGATGCTTTTATAAATGATGCCATAGAAATTTCCTTTTTACTGTTATGGAAGAACTTTCAGACTAATTGCTAAGGTGCTTGCTTAATTTCAACTCTCTTAGCAGTCTACAGACATGGAAATTATAGATTATCGTTCTCCATATGCCTCCTTATTGTCCTCCTTGCATTTTAATCTGAAAAGACAAGATGAATAGGAACAAAGATGTAATTTCAGTTTGAGTCCTTACTGGTACTGCTACTTGTTAAAATATTTGAAATTACAGGGACATGTAGAACAGACAGTGTGTGTCCTTTTCCTCTTTAGTGTAATCAAACCTAAAGAACTGGAAGGTACTGGATCAATTGAGGTAGTAGGCTCTGTTGTAGAAAAACGAGATCAAGGACAAAGTTGAACTTCTTGAGTTGCCATCTCTAGTTCTTGAAGGATCCTGTAGAATTCGGAAATAGACTCTAGTAAGCTGAGATTCAATACCATCATCACATACCAATTTATCCTTCCAATTACTTGGAATATTTTATCATATTATCAAATACACCCTTAGGAATCTTATGCCTTTATTTCTTTTTTGGGTCAGATTGAAATGTATATGGTACGATAACTCTGTTTTCTCTCTCTCTCTCTCTCCCCCTCTCTAGTCGAAATAAACGTATTAGGTAATTTTTTATTCTTTATCGTTCTAACATGTAATACATGTATTGCTTAATATACATACACGACCTTGTGTTGCTAACCACTTTTTCAATTTTTAGGTTTCGGCCTTTTAGTCTTTCAACTTTCTCTCTATCCTGTTGTGGAGAGGATTATTGGCCCTATCATGATAACTCGCATTGCAGGAGTAAGCAATCAAACCTTGTAAAGCCCAATGTACTCTCCATGTTTCCAATTTTTATGTTAACATGTATTTATTCCTTTTTTTTTTATGTTGCCCTTTATTTAGGTTGTAGCGATACTTCTTTTGACAAGTTACCACTATATAGCCATGCTATCTGGATTCAGCCTCTCATTGGTGTTAAATTGCGCATCTGTGATGAAGAATGTTTTATCCGTAAGTGCATCTAAAACTTCCAAGATTCTACTATCTAAACCCCTCTATGAAGTATGCTATATATATATATATATATAGATATGTTTGCTAGTGTTTTAGCAATGGTAAAGTTATAGTTAATGCTTAATATCTTTTGCAGCAAATGTATTATTTATTTTTAAATTACAAGCTCCATTTTTTATGCTTCTGCCAAGATGATTAGTACTTCTTATACAAAGTAGGTTATTTCCTCAGACAATTGAAGGGAAATAATCATCTACATACTAATAGCTGCATGAAAAGACACCATAATGCTCTCCTCATATATTAAAAACACTTGGGTGTTATAAGAAATTATGTATGGTATAGTAGAGATGCATATAAAATATACTGAGCTGCTGCTGGCAATAGTAATTTTTTCTTATAAAGTCCCAGCTGACCTTGTCATCCCGGGTCTGCTTGCTCATGGGAACCGTAAGATGTCTACACTAAAATTCAATCTACTATTCCTGTCTTTGCTTTCAGTAGTTATGACCCTATATACAGTAACCCAATCTCATTGATCTCATAAGTATCATACCAAATCCTATCAATCGGATCACTTTTTCGAGAAATACGAGACATCTAAGTCACACAAGTAAAGAGATCTATTCATCGATAAGAAAAAGAAAAAAATGTGATTGGGGATTGGATTGATGATAAAATAGAATCTTGGGTCGCGAACAGTGATTCTATTGATGATGAAGAAAGAGAATTATTGGTTCAATCCCAGCGTTAATTTATTGGTCCTATAACCACACTCTTTAGTTTTACTTTTTTTAGTTGGCATTTTCTCTTTGATGCTTTTTCTTTCTTCTCTTTTGCTTTTACAATGATGCATCATAAAAGGCACCACAATCCAACATTCTTGACCATGTTTATATGTGATTCCTGTTGCTGCCATAACCTTTTCTCCTTTTCAGATAAGTAATTTGTTCCTGAAATTGGATCATTTTTTGCTTTTGTTTTACGTTTTGTTCTTAGAAAACATATTTATTAATAGATAGCAAGAGGAGTTGTCTGATAGATAGGTTGATCAGAGTGGTATATGCTATTGGAAGACGGTCTGGCTGAAAGGGAGTGTGTTGGAGCAGCGTAAACATGCGAACATCGAGATCCAAGGACAGGCAACAAAGCAATCACACACAAATACAAGATATACATGGTTCACCCAAACTCAGGGCTACGTCCATGGGTGAGAAGAGATTCCACTATGATTCATAGAGATATTAGAACAATAGAGTACCAACACCAAGTGCATGTCTTTTCATCATGTACCACTCCACGAGTCTTATCTCCTCGCTACCAATGTCATTGGTGTTTTTCATACTCTACCATCCTATAAACTACCTCTACTCATCAACTCCCTCGCGAGACTACATCTCTCTCAATCTCATAAGTCTCAACCCAAAGCCTATATATCTATTTATAGAATTCCAAACCCAATTCCTTGTTGGACAAGGATTACAATTTCTTAGAACCCAAGACTTGCTTGAGAATAAATTTCCTAACATAATACATCTCTGAAACCTAATTGGAATAGGAAATTGAGACACAATTTTCAACAGAATGCTTCTTAAAAAGACCGTTTGATAGTTTGGCATTGACTCAGACATTACAGTAACAATTAAGAACGCAGCGATACGAGATCGTTCTGATCACGATTGCATTAAACAGACCTGGGGGGTGGGGGAGGGGGACTCTTAGCATTCTAGGGCACTCGACACCAATGGACACACTAGTGTTTATAGAGGAACGACTTGTTCCACAAATCTACAGGCTTCTAATTTATAAAAACTCAGTTTAGGAAACAAATCTTGAGTATATTCCTGTGATCAATACATGTAGCACTGCAATCAGATCAATAGATGAACAGAGTCACTTCGATCGTGCCTACAGAATTTTTTTTGATTGATATTTATACTAGTTACGATTGATTGTACCTATGAGCCTTCGATCCCCAAGTTTGTAGGTCACAGAAGGTTCTAGAAAAACATTTTCTTAATGCAGAAGGATGTCTATGTTCTAGAAAACTTGGATCCATGAATGCATATTTGGAGAACTTTTTCTTGATGCATAAGCAACTACCTAAGTAAGTGTAAGGAATCTTGGAAATTTAGCATATATAGTTTGTAGCACGTAATCTTTCTTAATATGAACAAGGAAAGTATATGTATATTGTTGGGACAAACGTAGTGAAACAAGAACAAAACAATAGCCATGCAAAAAACGGAGATTACAAGTTTTAGCCCTCAAACCCTAGCTTTCGCTCTCACTCTCACTCTCACTCTCACTCTTACTCTCTCTCTCTCTCTTGCAATTATTAGTGTTCTCTCATTGTCCCACTCCTAACCCTAAATGCCCTTTATACATCAGTCTACAATAGAGTACTAAATAGGGTCCATGACCCGCAAGAGAAAAAATGGGTCAATTTATTTCCCCATTTCAAGTTGAAACTAGGTTGCAATGTGACCCGGGCCAAAGCAAAATTCGGGCCGCACTATCACACACACACACATATATATGAGTAAGCTCTAGAATCTTAACCTTAACATATATATAATATAAACACGTGCTAAAACACGTTTTCCTTTTTATGCATATATAAAAATATATAAAAAGTATAAGAGTAGGTTCTAAATGCAATTTTCAATTTTAATGCATGTAACACGTGTATGCATGAACCTAGATGGTGACAGATGATAACAAGTGTGATTTTACCTGTTAACCTTAGACTTGAAAAGATGAAACCTTTACTATTTGTAGATGAAGCTTAACATACAGTCCTTTTGATGTATATTCTTCACCAAATGTAGTCTTCACACTCAATTATATCTAACTACCTATTTATAATTCACTCGCTAAAAACATAAAAAATTACAATTCGTTGAGCAAGTTTTGTTTTACGAAATTTGCCAACACAAGACTTGAATCCTAATAATCCTAACAATGCAGTTTTTGGGTAAGTGCAGCAAATGGGAAGGCAAATGCCTACGAATGATCCATTTGTTGTGAAGATGGGATTGAAAAGTAAACAGTTGAAATTATTGTATTTGTGGGCATGTGAACATTTCAATGCTATTGATACTGAATATTCCAAATGTTACATGATGTGAAGAAGGACTCAAATGGATACCAAATCATGCATATTCAAATGCGTTTGTGAACAATTTACTGGAAAAAAATACATTTATGAACAAAAGACTGCATACAAGTGCTTTTACGGTTGCCATATGATCTTCCTATTATACTAATACAGACATATAACTTTGAGTGAATTTTATAGTATTTTTACCTGAGTGAATTTTATAGTCATATCATCAGAAATGGTGATTTTCAGTCTTCTACTATTAAAGAATTAATGTTTCTCTTGTAACTTTTAACTGCTATCAGGTGTCCATTATAACAGGTTTGTTCATTCTGCAAAATAATGCTGTGGTAAGTTTTTATTCTCTTCTTGATTTAATCTGGTTTGATTCCCTTCCCATTCTTTTCTCTTCTGTGTCAAACAACCTTTTCTTACCTGTATTATGTCTTTACTTGACTTGACCTGATAAAATCCCAACAGGATCAACACCAAAGGGGTGCTGCTAATGGCATTTCTATGACTGCAATGTCACTTTTTAAAGCAGCCGGTCCAGCTGGAGGAGGAGCACTGTGAGTGCTTTATTTTTTTAGCTTCTTTTTCTTAAGTTTTTGAGAAACTGGTAGCATATGGAAAGCTACTTATATTGGGTTTTCGAAGTGTCAAATGGGCTGCGGTACATCAATAATAGTATATAATGTGCATGTGGAAATGTCAAATTTCTTTATAACAATTTTACATCCAACTTGGGATATTGTCATAATATTGATATGGATATTACAGTTTTTAATTTTTTGGAGTTTTTGAATTTGAATAAGTACTCATTTAGGAAAAAAAAGAATTTGAATAAGTACAATACGATCTCAGTTAGACTAGAGGACACATTTGGTTCATCTATAATGGGTTTGATTTAGGGTAGAGGGAAGGAAACTATTTAATTGTTTGAGCAACCTGAGTAGAAGTTTGATTACCTTAAGACAATGGGTGAAATTGTGAATTTGATAATAGCATGACTTTATAAAAGGAATGGGTGAAATTGTCTTAATAAAATATAAAAAGGGATGAAATTGTCTAATGAAAAACAATTACCTAAAATATGAAACCTACACTCAAAATGCAGTTTTAAAAGCCAGAAAGTTTAGCTCGTTCAAAAGCTCTACAGAGCTAAAATTGGTAACCAATAAAGTGATTTTAATGGTTTCCAAACACTCCAAACAAAAAATTTATAAAATAAAAGTGCTTTTAAGTGGTTGAAAAGCAATCCCAAACAGGCTCGAAGACTTGTGGAGTTGTGCCCACACACTTTACGTAAGCCGAGAGAGTTACATCTAAGACCATCTCTGTGTGTGTATGTGAGAGAGAGAGAGAGAGAGAGAGAGAGAGAGAGAGAGAGATCAAGTTTCCTCTGTGATGCACTTTGTCTTCAGTGCATCCTTTGGATTCTTCACTTTCTCCTAGGCTGAGCTGGCTAGTGTTCGCTTTCCAGCAAACTTCCACCCGACTAATAATATTATTCATGTTTATGTCATCAAATGTTTTTCTAAGCTAGATTACTCTATTATATATAGAAGCTTAATAATATATGGGACTAGTTGTAGCATTAGCACTTTGATTTGTTAAAAATGCATTAGCACTTTGTTTTGTAAAAAAAAAATAAAAATTGCAGGTTATGATGATACCATGATATGAAAGATATTCTTTCCACCTAGCCAAATGAGTTGTTGCATATGAAAGTAGTATTATGGACGCATACATAGAAGGCCATCCCATTTCGTTCCAGGCAAGAACAGTATAGGATTTTTGGATCTGAGCCCTAGTGCCCCTTGTGTTTGCACTCACAGCCCTAGGCCCATACTGCCTCTTCACTCCACCCCGACCATCAAACCCCCCCTCCCCCCCACATCTCTCCCTCCTTGGTTTTCATCCAAGCAGAGCCTCCATTCATCCCTACCACCACCATCTACTGTTATTATGGAATACAGAATTTATAAGAACAGAAACATACTATAAAGATTAAAACAATTCATGGATGGTTTAGTTCTCTGAACAGTATAAGATTAATTTATTGGCGTGTCCTTCCAAAATAATGCTATTGTACCAGTGTCTATATTTTTGCCTACACTATTTTGTAGTTTGTCAAAATATATAGCACTAGTACTACATAATAACAAGTTATATTGCAAATTATTTATCTTTTTTATTCTTTAATATTAATCATTTATTTATTTTATTTAAATTTGGTTGATGCAGTTTTTCCTGGGCACAATCGCGTCTTGATGCTGCATTTCTTCCAGGTAATTTCTTCAGCTTTGTCATATAAATTTGGACACTTTTTTGTTATTATGTCTAATACATCTATCTGTAAGTTCCTCCTTTCACAGTGGGTTTAACAAATAGATCTACAAAATGAATCCTAAACATAAGCATTAGAGCAAGTTCTGAACATTGTGGCTAGTTGTTCTTTCTTTTTCCATATCTTTTGTTTAAAGAAGACTTATGTTGTGCGAGATATTCACCTGTTTTCAACTCTTTATCAGAGAAAAACAACATATTAAATCATTGTTCTTGATACCAGTTCTAACTTTCTTTACAGATACATTTGTGGTTTTTATTGTATAACCTTAATTTCATATTATATTGATCTTTCCTAAATTACCCATATTAATTACATAACTTCCAACTTCAAAATCGATCATCTCAATTATTAATGACGTTCACATTTCCAAGAGTGGCTTAATTTTGAGAAATTTTATAGGTCATAATTGGTCTCTATGGTCTCAACTTACCTTGACCTTTATATTTATGTGATTGTGTTTTGAGAAATTTTTTGCTGTGTTCTTTGCTAAGCTCCATCTCCATCATATTTGAGGTTGTATACAAAAGAGTCACAACACTAAAACACATTACAAGTTTTGAGTAAGAAATTGCTAACACGTGACTCATATTCCCAACACAAGGTTTTTAAAACATATTTTTACTTTTAAAAAATTTAAAAACCTTTCGTAAGTATCCAAAATCCTCTGAGGTAAATATATAAAGTTTCTCAAGTTTCAAACCTCATGGAGCACATTGTTTTAAGATATTCAATATCCAGTCTTCAAACCCCAAACTGAGCTTCATTTCCATTGGCAAGGTGACCAAAATGAGCAACAAGATTCAGTTACACTTCGTTCAAACACCCTAGTATAAAACTCAGACTTGTTTGTGATATCTTTGCTGAAAATTCTGTTTACAAAGCATTTCCATAAACTAACTTTTTTCTATTCATCAATTTCCATGGCATTGTATGTGTACACATCAAGTATGACATTCTATTCTGTTTTCAGTAAATCTACCCTAATCCGATATTACCCTTATCATGCCATATATTCATATTTATTATAAGAAGTTAACTCTTGCTTATTACCTATTGCTATCCAGAGTAATGTTTATTTCTATCTGATATTTATTATAACATGTTCTGTACTGGGTTTCCATTCTTCCATCTGATAACCATCCTAATTACAATCAATGTAGGTGACCAGATGATATTCTTCTTCCTGAATGTAATTGAGGCAATTGGAGTGCTGATGACGTTCAGACCATTTCTAGCTCAACGAATGAATAGAAAAAATCAAACATTATCTTGAACTTCAAGCACCGGTCAGAATGCAGGTTGCTAGAGTATCTTCAACATGATTCTTTTGCTTAGTCTTTTTTTATTACATATGATGTAGTGATATAAACCAAAGCACTATTTCTTGAACTACCGGTCAGAATGCAGGTTGCTAGATTATCTTCAACATGATTCTTTTGCTTGGTTTATATCATATGTAATAAAAAAAAACGGGCTGGTGCACTAATTGATCAAAAACAGTGTATTCTTTCCGAATGCTTTAGGTCATTGAATAATCTGTATTTATGAAATTAGAATTGTTTCATGAGAGACTGTAGGATTTGATATCAATTAATTCATGTTTGTGAAATATAGTCAATATAATTCATTGTTTCATGATATATTTGCTCCTGGAGTAGATGATGGTATTCATTTCTAAAGAAGGAATGTGTTACATTTAACCTAAGGAAAATCCTTTAGTGTGCTGTGTTGTCTACAATTCAACTTAAATTTTTTCATGGCAATGCTGTAGACGGATGCGTTTTCTGACCAATAGATTTGTGCTCTGGTCCTAAGGCCACAGCAAAAGGTTAGTGAGGACCGCTTTGTCCAATTTGATTTTTTGCTAGATCGGTGAATAGCCCTGTGAAGAATAATTTAAGACAAGAAGAAGAAAAGAGAAAATAGGAAAAAGAACAATAGAAGAATATTACATTGTTTAGTCATTAGGGCTCATACACAGGAGAAGAGAGAAAGATTCTTCTTATTCAGTTTGTCTCAATGGAGATTACAACAGCATAAAAAATATTACAATATCATCTCAATTAAGGAAACTTTCCATAGTGGTATCAATTAAGGATCACGTTATAAGGATATAAGGAAATTACTGCTAGGGTTCACCATATCAACACAAAAATAGAACAAATCTAATAAATCTCTCTTCTCCACCAACACTCCCCTTCAAGTTGGTGCGAAAATATTGATAGAGCCCAACTTAGACAATCTTTCTTAAAGCTTGACAACGGGCAAATCCTCGGTAAAAATATGTACAAATAATATTGGTTTTTTCAAACGAAATGACAATCCACCACAATATGTTTAGTTCACTCATGATAGATTGGATTTAAAGCAATGTGTATTGGAGCTTGGTTATCACAAAATATTTTTGTTGGTAATATTTTGTTGGTTCAAAAGAACTAAAACCCAAATCCTGCAATAAAGCTCGAAGCCAAATAACTTCACTTCTTCTTGAAGCCATTGCTTGATATTTTGGTTATGCGCTTGATGGTGCAGCAATATTCTGTTTCTTACTCTTTCATGTTACCAAGTTACCTCCAACAAAGGTACAGTACCCAGTTGTAGACCTTCAATCAATTGAACACCCAACCCAATCAGCATCAGTGTAGGCAGTAATAGAATTGTACTCATTCTTATGCATTAATATGCCTCTTCCTGGTGATCCCTTCAAATACTACAAAATTCTTTTACAGCATTCATGTGATTAACTCTTGGTGCATGCATAAATCTGCTGACCAAACTAACTGCATATGAGATATTTGGTTGAGTAATGGTTAAATAAATTAGTCTTCCAACTAATCTTTGAAATTGGCCAACATCATAAAATAATTCACCTTCATCACCAATCTTGCTACCACTATCCGTGGGAGTGACTAAAGGTTTGACTCCCAATTTTCTAGTTTCCCATAAGAGATCCAAAACATACTTTTGTTGATTAAGAAAAATGCCCTTTTTTTAGTAGGCAATTTCTAATCCAAGAAAATACTTTAAAACTCCCAAGTCTTTAATAGAAAATTGCATGTGTAAAAGAGTCTTGAACTTTGATATTTCATCTCATCTTCGCAAGTGATCACTATATCATCAACAAAAATCAGAACAGCAGTTGTACCAGAAATACCTTTCTTGACAAATAGAAAAGCATCTACAACACTCTTTTTTAACCCATTGATCATGAGAACAGATATGAGCTTAGTGTCACGGGCCTAGAGATTTGGCACAGCGGCACGGCCCGTGCGGCACCAAGGCGTTGTTTTAGCTCGCCCAAGCGCCCTGGTCAGCCACCACGACCTACCCTTCTAAAAATACATGTTGACTGGTTTCGGCCTGCCTTGGCCTTGTCAGGGGAACGGTTCCAGCTCCTGACCAATTTGTACAGGGATTGCCAACTCCCTTCTTCATAGTCAAGTCCACGACCAGCGACAGGCTCCTCGCACTCAGCCGAGGACCTGCCTAAACTCTGAAGATGTACCATCCTGTACTCCTGCACGCCCCTTCCCTAGAACCATTCCCAGTCAAACTCTGCTCTTTGCCAACCAGCATACATGCCTTCCATCCTCCAAGCGTCTTAGGAATCACTTTGTGACATTCTCCCCCACCCAAATCCTGCGACGCCCTCGTCGCAGTGCGGCTCTTCACTACTGCGTCCACTCCCTTCCAAAGTCTGCCTCCATGCGGTATGCTCGCCTTCCCACCATCGTTTCTTTGTGCAGCTCCCTGCACTGCACTAGCCCAATGATAGGCCTCGGACCAAGGGGACGTCCACTTCTCAAGAACATGACTCTTCTCCATCATGCCGCCTCCGCGACATCCCGAGTAAGCAAGGGCCTCCTGCTGACTTGATGCTCACCCTTCACCATGGTTTGCATCACCCAAGACTAAGCACGAACTTTGGTGCGCGCGGCCCTCTGGCCCTCCAGTGCGCAACTTCAACTGACGCCTCATCCTGGGGAAATGGAGGCTCTCCCCCCATTGCATTGATTCCTCCTCATCGACACAGCTTCAGTGCACCGTCTTCATTCTCTGACCCCTCCCGGACGGACAAGGGGGCACCCCACCATGCTTTACCCCAAGTCCTGCTCTGATACCATTTGTCACGGGCCTAGAGATTTGGCGCAGCGGCACCGCCCGTGCGGCACCAAGGCGTTGCTTCAGCTCGCGCAAGTGCCCTGGTCAGCCACCACGACCTGCCCTTCCAAGGATACATGTTGACTGGTTTCGGCCTGCCTTGGCCTCGTCAGGGGAACGGCTCCAGCTCCCGACCAGTTTATGCAGGGATGGCCAACTCCCTTCTTCATAGTCAAGTCCATGACCAGCGACAAGCTCCTCGCACTCAACCGAGTCGACCTGCCTGAACTCTGAAAAGGTACCATCCTGTGCTCCTGCACCCCCCTTCCCTGGAACCATTCCCAGTTAAACTCTGCTCTTTGCCAACCAGCATGTATGTCTTCCATCCTACAAGCGTCTTAGGAATCACTTCGTGACATTAGCATTCCAAGCTCGTGGAGACTGTTTAAGCCATATATAGCTTTTTTCAGCTTGCAAAGAAAACCAAATTTGGATTCTTGTGGGTGGCACTCATGTAAACTTCTTCTTCTAAATCACCATGTAGGAACGCATTTTTAACATCTATCTGGAAAAATTTCCAGTCTTGATTCACTACCAGAGATATGAGAACTTAGAATGTATTCTTCTTGGAAAGGTGTAAATTTCTCTATATAATCTTCTCCATAGGTTTAAGTAAACCATCTAGCAACAAGTCTTGCCTTATATTATTCCACGATTCCATCACTTTTATATTTGATTTTGTATACCTAACAACACCTAACTATTTTCTTCCATAGAGGTAATCTAACAATATCCCATTAATGGGTATAACCCAAACCTAACCCAATACCGAGACCAAAATACAGAAGCTAAAACCCACATTAGCCTACTTGGATAATGTGACCATGAATTATATGTCAACCGAAGACCATTTAGGTCATACAAAACATTTAGAGACATCTTATAAGGTTCTAGACCCTAGAGGAATGGTTTCGTCACAAATCATTATTTTTCTCATAAAAAAAACAATATCAGTCTTCACTAAAATAGTCATAACTCTTTCTATGTTCGGAATTTTTGAATGAGACTAGTACCATTGGAAATTTGACTTTGAGACATTCAATTTGAACACACACGAATGATCTAATTTGGATTTTAAATGAGTAAATTTTGGCCGTTTGAAGCCAGGGAGTTGAAACGGTGGGGATGAATTGTAGCGCAACCGATTGTGCAAAAATGCAACCGGTTTTTGCAGGGCAATAAACCAATTTTTGGAGACACAAATGATGCGCAACAGGCACGCAACCGGTTCCGCAAGCCTAAGGAACTAAAACAAGGTCCAAAAATGAGTTTTTTAAAGGAACAAAGCTATGGACACCTTCTAAATCTCATTAGGAATATCCAAGAGATTAAAATGGTGAATCTACCCAACATAGGGTATCTAAATCATGGCAAAAACACATGTGAGCCAAAAATGTGTGTGCAAAAAATCATGAAGATAATTAATTTAAGGGAGAAAACCATACATTGAAATATAAATGGCCTCATGGCCTCATTACATCAATTATCCTCTAAATCATTAAATAGGTTACAAAATTCTACATTATCCAAGTATACATATAGTTGCCTTAAAGGCCCCAAGTAGACTACACATCACTTACACCAATACATATCCACAAATATCAAATATCGTCAAATACGCTATCCAAACCAAATAAAAGTAGCATCCTCTCTAGCATTGCCTTAACCTGAAATGGGAATCAACATGGGGTGAGGTACAATGCTCATTGGGCTTTATGCTAGGTAAATAAACTATATTTCTTTGGCCTCATAAGAGCAGCCCATATCATACAAAGTAAGGGGATGTGCCTCTTAATGTTTAGTCTCAAGGAAACCTACCAAGGGATAATCCTAGGCTAGCATATGAACAATTCATATAAATATGCAAGAGAAGTAAACATCTCATCATAAAGAACCACACTATAAGCAAACATAAGCATAGTAATGAAATAGAATAAACCACAAGTTGCATTACACATGGATGCCAACTTGAAAATAAGATTCGAAATCAACAAAAGGGATAATTCATAAACATACCCACACTCCAGGTGTTATGCGCCAATAAAAATATGGTCGTTCTCGGGCTATTAACCTAGCCAAAAACCAACCGAGTGGCCACTAAAAAATGGAGAAACTCATGTTTCACCCGCGAGTGCTAAGCCCTCGTTGTCACAATAACAAATCCACAGAGTATATCCCAAAAATCATCAATCAATTAGGTAGATATTCATGCTAATATATGATCAAATTTCACCTCACAAATGCACGTAAGCAAAGATTAATCATACAACACATGCCTTAAAGTCCGAAATACTACAATGGCATGCAATCCAATGCAAATAACCTCAATGAGATAGTATATGGTGGTTACCTCAAATTACATCATGTAAACAAGTTCATCATATAAGACATGATAGGCAACAAAATTAACCATATTGTTTTGCATCCAAAAATAGAGTTCACATTATCATCAATGTAGGCACAAGAATTATTTTAAGTT